TATTCTCTCAAGGTCCATCCATGTTGTTGCAAATGGCAGTATTTCATTCGTTTTTATACCTTCTAAGGAAGCTATTGTGACCCATGCATGGCCGAAGGGAAGGGGACACATGCTGTTTGTGGTCGGGGCTAACCAGCTGCCCCGTCTGCGCCCTCACGTCAACTCTCACCACACTCCAAGTGGCGCTGCGTTCTTGCTGCCGAGCGCTACTTACTGGGTCAGGTCCTGGCCGCACTCAGCACACAAGCCTTTCATGACAACGGGGTGGCTGCATCCTTCTAGTCTCACCAGAACTGCTCTATAAAAGACCAGATGAAAACAATTACAAACTACAAAGGGAAGAAGAACACTTTTAAATCTCTTGGTTCATCATTCTGTGCTAGAACAAGCACTTGAGTAGAATAAAAATCCTGCGTTCTTGTACCAATCCTACACTGACTCGTGCACAGCTTCAGGCAGGTTACTCTCCAGGGCTGCATTTCTTTGTCTGTAAAATGAAGGGACTTCTCACCTGCGGGTCTTTCTCATGTATGACAAAACAAAACAGTCCTCTGCTTTAGCGGAAAAGCTAAAAAAAAAAAAAAAAAAAACCTAAGGAAACTTACAAACATAAAAACTGTCTCAAAATAAATATTTTTATATTTATTTGTATGTGATCCTTACATTTCTGATAAAAAATTATAAAAACTAAAGCTTTGTTAACTTAATATGGTAACAAGTTAGCATAATCCCCTAAAATAATAAAATTATCATCTCTCATATGTTATTGCCAGTATAGAGAGAGGCTATGATTCATCTAAATTTTTCAGACAGAATTATTACAATATTCCTAGTTTCAACATAAGCACAGAAACTATTCTTCTTTCTATGCCCAAACATGGGCCATCCAGTAGTAGCCACAGAAGGGTTTAGGGCAGATGAATCTCAGAGCTGCAAAGTCAGAGCACACAGGCATATGCCTGAGACCACCGCCAGCTGGCGCCCAGAAGGTCTTGCTGACCCCCAGGGCCATGGACCCCACAACAGGGGCTGAGGGGACTCCTCAAGACAGGAGGGGGACACGCTCTCTAGAGCCACGGCCACCTTCCAGAAAACCAGCCACTGCACCTGTCCTGCTCCCCTCTGCACAACCTCCTTCCCAGTACTTCGATGCCACTGCACAGCAGAGACCTTCTGCCATCCCATTGTGGAGGGGGCGTGCACACCAGAGCACTCTGCTGGGACCAGTGTCCCCTGACCTCCAGGACACTGCCCATGGCATGGGCAGGCAATGCACATGTCCCTGCCAGGGCAGAATCAGCTGCCCCCAGAGCACCTCAAAGACAGGAAAGGGGAAGAGAGGGCAGGGCCGGAAGTCAAGCAGCAGGATGACACCATGAGGACAATGCAGAGCCCACTCTGCCACAACCACCATCACTGGAATGCCACACGCTGAAAATCACAGCTCCCTGTGTGTGGTTTCCCTGTAGACAGGGTCTGAGTTCCGAGCACAGGGCTCCCTGTGTGCAGTCTCTCTTCAATGGAGGGCTAGCAGGAGGCTCCTGCCACAGCAGGAAAGACCTGGAAGGGGGTGGAAGGGAGCTCTTCCCTGTGAGCGAACAGGATGGGTATGTGCCCATCAGCCAGAGCAATCAGCCGGGCTGGGAAGGCGGGCTGAGGCGGGGCCTCGAGTGGAAGCAGGGCACTCAGATGTGCTCCAGCACCCGCCAGGGACGGGAGGAGTGCAGCCAAGCTGGGTGCACAACGGTCAAAGTCCAGCATCTGAGTTCCCACTGGATCCCACCCAGCAACCCTACTCCTGACCCTGCACCAGCCCAAGCAGGGACAGAAGTGACCAGGCTGCCCCTGCAGCCCTGCTCTCACCAACCTCAGGACCCACAAGGCTGGATTCTGCCCACTCTCC